TCTCTCCCCATAAGATGCCAACATTTTGAGGATAGCAGTGTGTCCACTCTCCTCTACAATGTTCAGTATGGAGCCCAGCATATAGCAAGTGCTGAAATAAGTATTTTTTGGCAGGAGGAGAATATGAATATATTAAAATATCTTTCTTTGGTGCACTCCAGAGGCTTGACTTGGGAGAGTTTGGGAATAAAGAAAGGGGTGAATGTTTGCTACTTTCACACAATTGGGGTCTTTGATAAAACAAAAGACAAATTTCTCTTCATACTTTGCAGCAGTTTGTAGAACACGCTGCCAGGGTTTAGGGAACTTCATCACGTCCTGTGTCTGGAGGTAAATTCAGAACCTCAAAGCTCACTTGGTCTCTTACCTTATCTTTTCTGCCAAGGTGCCTCACCGTGCTCATTTTCCCCCTAGCCATGGCCAGAGGAGTGGCCATCACTCAGGCAGGTCAGCCTCAGGTGAAACAGGCCACTTGGCCTGCCTCTGGGCACCATGTAGACACATGGAGGGGTCTTTCTTCAAAGAACAGCTCTCCTTACACATTCGCTGTCTTCACAGAAATCTGTCTGATTTTCTTCCTTTTCTGCCTTTTTGTGATTATACATATTTCAGTGGCGCTAAATTTGAACTAAACCTTGAAACTATCTGCCTGCTTTCAAAACAAACAGTATAGACTCATGTTTTCTAGTATGTCAGATTCAGGTGATTTTATTAATATAGTTTAAAGAAACAGTTGGGCCGAGCGTGGTGGCTCACTCCTGTAATCCTAGCACTCTGGAAGGCTGAGGTGGGTGGATCGCTCAAGGTCAGGAGTTCAAGACCAGCCTGAGCAAGGGTGAGACCCCATCTCTACTAAAAATAGAAAGAAATTATCTGGACAACTAAAAATATATATAGAAAAAATTAGCCGGGCATGGTGGCGCATGCCTGTAGTCCCAGCTACTTGGGAGGCTGAGGCAGGAGGATCGCTTGAGCCCAGGAGTTTGAGGTTGCTGTGAGCTAGGCTTATGCCATGGCACTCTAGCCTGGGCAACAGAGTGAAACTCTATCTCAAAAAAAAAAAAAAAAAAAAAGAAACAGTCAACTCACATTGGTACAAATATTTTAATATCTTCTCTAGTCGTATTTTTCCCAAAGACAGGAAATCACTAAGCATCTTCATTCAAAACAGTTTGACCACATTCTTAACACCATGCTCAGGCATAATTGCTAAGTGAAGACTGTTACAGACTCAAAACTAATTCATCTGGAAATGCCATGATTCCTTTATCCAGATATATCCCTTATTCCTTCCTTCCTATTCAGAAAAAGAAAAAAAGAAACTGACACCCACCCTAGGAACAACAAAAACTAGAATTCTGTTTGGCTAGCAGGCAGTCAGCTACATCCTTTTCTGAGGACACAGAGGCTACTGAGTCGTCCCAAGGACACCTGCAGCATTGTAAAGAGCAGTGCTGATGGGGGATCTCCCTACTCTCCCTCTCCACCCCACAATGCCCCTAGACATAGATTCCAGCATCCTCAGAGGCTCTGTAAAACTATTGTTTATAAAGAGAGAACTGTTCTTGAACCATTCCCCCTACTGATCTTACAGAAGCAAGATTTGCGTTGCCTAAGTGAAGGATTATAGAATTAACGATGCATATAACGTGGGGGTGACACAGAAGAATGTGTTTCTGGATATGGGATCAAATTCTGGTTTGGGATTTTGATACTTACTGCCATGGTGAAGGCCACACTAAGATGCTTGGATAATGGGAAGAAATACATTAGAGAGAGGAAAAATATAGTCAGATTAGTGCAAATAAGAATTGGTAGAAGCTCCTTGTAGGAATGTTCTTCCATAACATTGGAAAAATGGTCCATAGTGATATTGCTAACATAGGTAAAATGGCTGCTAACAGCAAACACTTTCTATTTCAGAAGCAGACTAATAATCAATAATTTTATTTCTAATACTCATGTTTACCATAAGGCTTTTTACAATGAGATTATATAGCCAAATTGATTTCACTGTTGAATTTATCAAAAAGTCATCAAACACCCCTGAATCTCCCCTCTGGAATTCTCAAAAAGGTCTACAATAATCTCTCCAGAAAACTACTTCCTGGATTTCATGATTTCCCATAGCTCTTCCTACAGCATTTGATTATTGCTGTTGTAAATAAGGCAAGAATTATAATTAAGAAAGATATGAATGTGATGTAATATCATAGTAAACATGGTTATTTATAATTAATTACCACATTGCCCCTTTACCTGATTTTATATTCATGTTGAAAGCTCTTAACTGTGCATGTATGATTGATTCACGATGGTATATGTGGTTGTTTTAATAAAAAGTTTCAGTTGAGGTTTTGTTCAACAGTATAACTCACTTATTCCACTGTTTCTTTGGGAAAATCAAATTCAATTTGTGTCATTCTTCATTTCTGGAAGTACATCCTGTTTTAGGTGATTATCCTACTATAATAATGGAGTATGAGTCAGAATTTCTTTCTTCCTTCCCTTCTTTTTCCTGTGTCCTTGACTTTTCCCAGAAGCTCACTTTCTATAGAATAAATTTCCCTAGGCACCATTTGTCCCATTCTATGACTTGGGTACTCAAAGATTCCCAGACTTTTGTAGTTGTAATATATTTTTTTAAATGCAAACACACTACCACCTCTCTCACCATTGTTCTCTTTTTTAAAACCAGAATAAACCTTGGAAAAGTTTTAGTAGCTCTTGAGAGCATTAAAGGCTTTTTGGGATATTCTGAAAGTAAGATTGCAAATTTTATCCCATGACTGAAAAAAAGAAAATATCCTTTTATTAGCCTTATAGTAATTTGGAGTAGCTAAGTTATTTGTATGCTAAACCTTCTTCAAAATGGCAAAATTTAGGTCAAGCAAAAACAGATAATGCAGTGTAATAGAAATACTTTTCCCGATGAAGTAAGTTTGCTCTAGTCAACGGAGAGCTATCGTCACAAAAAACGTTCTCCCAAAATGGCTCGTATGCTCGGATCAGTTAGCATGCCTATTTATGATGTCACCAGTATGGTCAAAATGTCGTAGGAAGTCCTGCTATGTGTCTGTGATGAGCAGCAGGCCAGTGCACACTGTTCTACCTGGACCATCAAACCATGGACTCACACCGCATTGTCTGTTGTCACTCAGCCTCTGGACCTTAACATACCTTCATTCCTTTTTGTTTCTTCTCACCCTACCCTACCTATTTATGTGTGAAAGAACACTTTTCTCCCTAACCGCTAACAGGTTCAACAGGTTAATTCACCTACTACCTTCCTCTCATCTCTTCACATCCTTTTTGTACACTACCAGGTAATTATACTCCAGCATTTTCAATATATAACTTTATGTTGGTATTTCTTAAAGCTAGCAAAGTAAAGGCATAGGCTGAATGAAACAACTAATAGTGAATGTTTTACTGAGCTTTTTAAAAAAAAATCAGTTTTCACCATATCAATGAGTGGGAGGTACACATAGAATGGCTAAATACAGAGGTTGTTCTCAAATCTGTTCAGACATAGGATAAGCCAGGGGTGAAATGAGTAGATTCACGTTATTAGATGGTACAATACATCATATTGACTTGGATCATTTTAGATAAAGTCATTACTGGATAAATCCTCCTACAACAAATACAATTACAATAAAAAGTTTCCTATTTAAAACACATCAGAGACCCTCATGCTCATCTTTGTTCAGTGCTGGTTTCACACGGCCACATCCACATGCACGTGACCGTCACAGATCTGTTTGGGTGGCTTAGCTCTTACCGAAGACAACCAACAGGACTTGGGCCAGATGGTGGAAATTTTATCTCTAGATGTGTTTAACAAGGGAAGCAAAAAGTATGAGCAGTTTTCTGTAAAACAGAAAATCAAAGGAAGAGGAACAGATGATGTCAATAAGGAAAAAAAATCTGGCAGGATTTATATAGTTCCCTCAATTAATATGTTTTTAAAAATTGGAAATCCCTTTTGTCTTTTAGACAGTGTATGTCTAGAGTTAGTTCGAAAAACTTAGGCCTTTTATAATTGTTAAGAAATTTGACATTATTTTAAGCAATAATCTAAAGATTCTAGTACAAAGAGAGAATATGAATAAATCCTTGGAGTTTGAGGTAAAGAAGTGAATTGCAGGATGCCAAAAAAACAGAATGTACATTTGGATTTGTGAGCCAACGAAACACCAAAGCCACTGAATTTTTCCTCACTAAAGTAGAGTGAAGTTCTTAAATACAAACAGAAAAACTGACAACAAAATTTCCATGTGCTGCGAAAAGGATAGTAAGCCTAAGTGTGGGACCTGTGATATCTTGGTTTACACAGGGTCTTAATAGTTTGTGTCTGAACAGAAAGGTTCTAGAATGGGGAGATGACAAATGTGAATATTTTAAGCATATTTTGTTCATCATAAATATTCTAGACACTCTACAGGGCCTACAAAGACAGCTTGTCCTAAACAGTTTTCCACCTTCTTCCTGGAGAACCCAGTAATTCCTTCTATAAAGACTGTTCGCTCTCTAGGTACAGAGGCACAGGATCGTTCCATGATTTTTAGGAGTGTAACAATGTGCAAAGCAAGGTTGTAAAATGAACTGCTTTCTTCCCCTTCCTACCTGATTTCTGTCTTCCTGTGCTTTAGTCTAAAGACTAGGATATCTCTTTCTGACCCCAGAGCTCATGTTTAACCCAGAAAGTATACTTTGCAAATGTCCTGCATGTTCTAATTTGTATGATGGAAAGAGAAAATAGCTCGTCTGAGCACTGATTTGACATTGTTTTATCCCTACAGTCTTTGGAAGCCAATCTCATGCCCTTCTCTTGACTGTCTAAAATGCCCTTGCTAGCCAGACCCCTTTGCTAGCTACAGTGTTTGCACATTTCCCTGTTAATCAGCTGCATAGGCTCGGAGACTGTGTGTTTTGGTGTTGTTTGTGTGTGCAATCTCGTGCCGCTTCCTGAACGCATGTGTCCCTTCCCTTCACAGCCTACTCGACACCCAGCACCTCCCCCGCAAACCGATTCGTCAGTGTTGGACCACGGGATCCAAGCTTTGTAAATATCCCTCAACAGACACAGGTGGGCCGCTCTCATCTTTTCTGTATGTGGTGCAGCTTGTATTATTCATCGGGTGCATTTTAACTTGTCTTTTGGCACAAAAGGCCGCGTTTCCCAGCCCCTGTCCAGTCCCCTTTCCTCCTGACCTCACCAGCCACACTCTCATGTGTTCTCAGAAATCATAGAAAACGTTGTCTGCAATTTTTGCTTCTTGTACTAAGGGGTAGAAGAAAGGGGGCTTCTGTGCTGGAACTGCTTTTCCTATGGCAAGAAAAGTTTCCCACTGTTAGACGATAGTGTGTGTTCCCTCTTCTAGGAATTCATGCCCCTTTAAGTGCAAGCAGACAGAAGCAGGGCCCCTACAGAAGCTGGAAAGTAGTATCTGGTGGCCGGCGACATCAGACTATATGCTGGGAATGGGGTGACCAGCCACTCCTCTGTGTTTGTTATAGAGTCCCCACGAACCTGGCAAGCTTTCTTAAAGAAAGAGAGAAAAAAAGGGTTTATGTGCCCTCTTAAGTTGCTAGTATTTGTCCAGAAATAGGAAGTGTTTGTTAATGGTTACTGCTGCCCCTGGGAAGGAAGATGCAGTGGGTGGGAGGGGTGTGTGTGAATATAATGTCATATTTGAGGTAGGTGATTGAGAGAAGAGGAATGTCAGGACATCTAGAGCTTGTCTGTCCATAGACAGTTGTGTTTTGTGCTAGTCTAAGTCAAGAAGAAACCTCTTTGAAAAGTTTTGGAATGGCCACTGTACATTGAAAAACAATGAAAGACTTTTGAGTTCAAAGGGAGTATGTGTAGAGGTATTTAGAGGTTTGTGAAATAGAATTAGATTCAAGTTTTGAAAGAAACTACTCTCTGATTTCCTAATTAGAACATGACCATATTTTACCATAATTGACATAAGGAAAGTATTTTCTCTGTAAGGTTCTTAGCATGATGTTTGAAAAAATTCTCTGAGCAATTTTGTGCATATGCCTAGGTGTGTAATCTCCAGATGCCTGATTTGTAACTATTCATCTCTGTTTGTAAAACTGTGGCCAGGTGCTTATGAATGGGATGGATTTGTCTTCCTGGGTCCATTTGCTCCCTCTGTGAAGGGCTTTAGTTTATTGCTGTGTCGACAGCACAGGTTAAACTGCATTGCATCCGAAGCCTTCCTTACACTGAAGCAGGGTCACAGAAAGTACAGCATAGCATCAGTGGAGGAGGCAGCTGGGAGGAGAGGGGGAGTGGTAGGGGGAGGAAGCAGGTTAACTCTTGAATTTCCCACCTCTGCTGTTTCTTCATAACCTGGCTTGCACCTGGGGTCTGGGATTAAAATCTCCTATTCAGTACCTCCTATAAAATTCTTCCAGATATTTGCTTATCTCCTCATACCTTCAAATGTTCAAATACTTTCCTGGTGAATTTGAAGTTGCATAATTACCTTAAAAGCATTAAAGTAGAAGAATATGATTTAATTTCGTACATTTGGCTTAAGTGTTCAAGCACAATGAGAGGGGAGAACTGGGGACTGTGCCTCTATATCGGACGATTGCTTTCCCCAAGCACTCATGTGCTCAAGTTGCTTCTTTAAGAACCTTAACTGTGCAGCTTTGAAATGTCCTGTTTGTATTTTACATAGTATTTTTATATAAGCTGTGATTCATGGCACCGAAATTGTGTCCTGTGTTCCATTTGATTTATTTCTCTGTAATCAAAATGTATTGTATTCCAATATGGCTTTGTCACACAGATGCCTTATTTAACCCAGAAACTGAGTCTTCATGCTGCTGACCACAAAAATTCAATTCTTAAAAATCCAGATTTTCCACGCATCTGGACAAATGATGTCATGTAGACCCAATATTGGCATCTGGAACCGAATTTTTTTGGTTTCCGTTAAATATTTGGCATCATGGGGACAACAGCTTAAATGTTTCTTGCCACAGTGGCACCTGCCACTTTTGGCTTGAGGAAAGCCATTCCCAATTGTCTTATGAGAAACTGTGCTAATAGAGTTGTCATTTTTTCCCCCAAAGGAAAAAAAAAGATATCCTGAAATGTAAAAATTATAGCTCTAAATATTTAATTTTAAAGTGTATGTATTAACTCTTTCTTTAAAAAAGGAACTACTTTGTGGAACCATTTAAAGTCTTAAATATATATAGACATGGATAAGAAAAAATAGAGCTTAAAAAATACATTAGTTCAGAGCAGGAATTTTTAAAAACATAATTTGTACATGGTCTGCAGATGAGTGATTTCCTAGGCAAAGTTGCATTTTTCTGTATTGGTACCTTTGTTATAAGGCATGAAATTTATATAAATTGAATTATAGGAAAAGTTTTCTGGGAAAACAAAATTTTGCTTTCTACCTGTGAAGAAATAAAAGTTGAAAAGTCACCCAAGCAGATACTTAAGCTTTTTAAATACAAAAGCAGTATCTTGCACATAAATCCATAAACAAATGCAAAATAAAATGGCCTTCCTTTCTACCAAAGACCATTTTCCAATGGAAATCTCTTAAGATGCCTGAACACCATCCTATAGAAAACAAAATAGATATGGTCTCGATTTTTTCTAGCAATTAGAAATTGAACTAATGCATAGAAGTTATAAGTAGGCAGCTTTTGGCTTATCATAAGTCTTTTTTTAAGAAAAAGAGTCATTTGATTGTATGAAGCCTCTATTGAGTATTTCCTATATACTAAGTACATTAGGTATGTTATCCAGCTGATCTTTACAGCCACCCAATAGGATAGATCTCCAAAATGGAAGCTGAGACCTAAGGAGACTGGTGATTTTCCCGAGGCCATATAAAAATAAGGAGTGGAGCAAGAAATTGCACCCAGTTCTGTCTGACTCCTAGGCCAGTGCTCTCTAACCAGCATGCAGTACTGCCTCATGAGCTGGTAAGCACTTTTCTCTGGAGATATTCAGAGACTGATGCTCAGTTCTCAGGAGTACTACCGGTGTATTCCCTGCTTTTATCCCTGACACTGTATTAAAATCTAATCATTAGTATATACCCAAACGAATTGAAAGCAAGGTCACAAAGAGATAGTTGTATATTCATGTTTGTAGCAGCATTCTCCACAATAGCCAAAAGATGGAAGCAACCCAGGGTCCACTGACAGATGAATGGATAAACAAAATGTGAAATAATGGAATATTATTCATCCTTAAAAAGGAAGAAAATTCTGACATATGCCACAACATGGATGAATCTTGAAGGTATTATGCTAAGTGAAATAAGCCAGTCACAACAAAATAAAAACTATATAATTCTACTTGCATGAGGTACCTAAAGTAGTCAAATTCATAGAAACCGAAGGTAGAATGGTGGTTGCCAGGGGCTTGGGGGGAGGGTGGAATGGGGAGTTGGCATTTAATGGGTATAGAGTTCAGTTTTGCTAGATGAAAAGAATTCTGGAGATGGATGGTGGTAATGGTTGCACAACAATGTAAATGTATTGAATACCACTGAACCGTACATTTAAAAATGATTAAGATAGTAAATTTTGTGCTACGTGTATTTCACCAAAATTTTTAAAATATAATCATTTAATAAGCTCTAAAGGCCCTTTCGCCTCCAAGAGTCTAAAATTCTGTAAAAGTAGACTGCTTATGGACAAAATCCACTGTAATTGTGTGCTGACTGGTGAGAAAAGCACTAATTCTCATGCCTAGCACATAGTGGGTACTCTGTACACATTGATTGAATCTAAGTGATTCAAAAGGAAGCTTAAAAATGATGACTTTTTCTTATTACATTCATGATACATGTTAATTGTGGAAAATACAGATGAGAAAAATAATAAAAATCACTTGTAGTCCTACTGTTAACATTTCTATATAAATCCATCCAGACCATTTCTATGCATATAAATATATTGCAAAAAATGAGATCATATTATATACACTGTTTGGTAGCCTGCTGTTCTTCCCCTTAACAATATATTACGGCCTTCTTTCCATGTAAATTGGAAAAATTGAATATTGGCTTTTATTGCACCTATTCATCATCTGTAATGATTGGTGGGGAAAGATAACATGGATAATTGAAAGCCATTTTTCCTCCTCTTTCCCTTCTAGTCTACTTTTTTCTCCAGAGAATTCCTCCCTTCACCAAGGCAGAATTGCCTTCTCTTTAGCCGTGCCTGGAGCTAGTTTTCTTTAAAACTGCCTTCCAATTGCACTGTATATCTCATCCTCGCTTTCGGCTTTGTTCAGACATTGCTGCTGAGTTTTCTGTCCCATTCTTCTGCCTCGCTTGTCTGCTACCTTTGCTGCTATCATTTGCCTCTAATTTCCTCCTCTTTCTCCATATTGTAACTGATGATTAACATGAGAGGTGGCCATCTCCCTACAGCCCTGAGAACACCCATCTATTCCGGGAAACTATGACCACTCGTTCCACCCTGAATCTCTTATTTTTCAATATTATCCCATGACAGCTGATATTAACATATAGAAAAGCCTCTGGGGTATAGTGTATTTACTTAACTTTAAACACTATTAATGTGCCCTGCACGCCCACCAAATGATATAATGTAATAGGGAACATGCCATTGTCTCCAACAGCAGAACACCAATGGCCACTTCAGTTGCATCCCATAGCTTAATCTGAGCCCTGAAAACAAGAGCCATTAAGAGGAGGCATTTATTTAAAGAAAAATGTTAATATTTCATCATCAGGTAATAAATAGAAATATAAATTCCCACACAGGAGGATTGAGCAAAGGACTCATTTTGATTCAGGTTGTAGTTTAATCAAAAGGTTTAAAAAAAATGCTTAACCTGCAGAACTCCAATGAGGACTAATTCTTTAAAATGAAAAATGAGCACAAACAATATTAAAAACAGACATTTCCTCCCTACCACCCAAATCTATCACTGTTCTGGATCAACAGAATTGTGGTATCTGAAATGCTATTTAAAACCAAATTACAATTTGGGCTATTAGAAGAATCGCTTGGTATGGCATGGGTCTGATTTGTTGACAAAAAGGCACAGGTGCTGTAACCTTTGCT